CACGCACGCCTTTCCCTGGAGCCGACAGCAGCCCCAGAGGCGCGGCCACCGCGGCCCCGCCTTCCCGCCACCACGTGGATTTAAAACCCACGCTGCCTCCAGGCTCCTGCCCCTCTTCCGCCATTGGGCGAGGGCGCCCGCACTTGTGTCCAATAGAATGGCTGCCTCCGGAATCCGAACTTGGGATTGGTTCCTCAGCTGTGTCATTTCGGGCTGCTCCTGACGTCAGAAGTGTCTGGCACCCCCGCCTCTTCTGTGTCTTGACTGAAGTTAAAGGCACCACAGGGAAGATGCGGGCGGTTGTCGCTTCAGAAACGCTTTTAAGTAACCTTTAAAAAATGTTTAAATTAACGTTCGCTGCAGAAAATACAGCAAAAAATATCAGAGCAATGTACACTGTTTAATCTATTACATAAAACCAACTCCTTTTATCGTTTGACATATCATTGTTTTTAATGTAATTTCATTTGTACATAATTGGGATCAGTTCTGCAGCCTATTTTAAACTTTATAAGGAACTTTTCTCTCTACCATCAAATAGTTTTTAAAAACATCGTTTTTAACCGTTGAATTATCTTTGATCTTCGTTTAACCTATCCCCTCCTCCCCTAATTTTGTTGTTGCCTTTTTGCTTTAAAAAATGAAGGCAAGATCAACCCCACCACACAATCTCATGGTTAAGATACATCGGACTGTGCTCTCATCGGACTGTGCTCTGGTACCAGGCAAATACTTGTTCTTGGAAGGTGTCGGCCCAGGTGCCCGGCTTTCCAGACTTGGTTAGAAGCTTGTCATTAGGTGGGTCTCCAAGGGACAGGACAAAAGGAGATGTATGGGAGTGGAGGGAGTGAGCGAGCAAGGAAGACAGAATGATGAGCAAGTAACCAGGGTAGCTCCAGGTGAGACTTGCGTGTTTATGTGAGTGGGTGCCGCTCATTTGCTCCCCAGAGGTCTGCCCAGCACCCGCTGTACAACACACCCCGATCACTGCACCCACTGGGACGTGCTAGGACAAGTCGGGCCGCCCTGCCGCCCTGGGGGTGCCAGTCAAGGGCAGAGAGGTAGTGAACACCCAGACACAGGTGTTTGAGGCCTGGGCACAGGTCGCCCCTCTGAAATTCTGTTTCCATCCGCATTTGGGGGGAGGAGACTCAGGATCTTCCAGTCTAAGTGACCCTCTGAGGTCACCCACGAGGGGTGCTGGTAGCAGGTGCCCAGAGGGTCCTTCCTGTCTGGGTTTAGTCTGTACCTTCCCCTTCCTGAGCCTGCTTCCTCCCCAGCCAGCTGGAAGCCTCGGGGCGCCCAGGGGCTGGCGTCACTCACGCCAGCAGGAAGGCCAGGGGAGATAGACCCTAGCAGAGGTGATGGGGGCAGAAATGCCTTTTGCTGAGGCCGGGCTCTGGGGCCCAAGCACCAGTAGTCACGTCCCACTCTGCCTCACTCCTGGGTCCCTGAGCCTCAGTATCCCCATCTGTCAAGTGGAAATAATAGTAGCTGGGACCCCATAGGGCTGTTGTGGGGACCCACCAAGCTGTGGTGGCTGGCTGTAGGACCCAGTACACACGTGTTGAATGATGAAGCGGACAAATCCGCAGGCACCAGGGCAGGGGCCGGCTCCCAGGCAGCATCCAATGAAGATTATTAGCTCTTGTTCCTGTTTAAAAGCCAAACAAGACCCTCCCAAAAAAATGAAGCCTGAAGATCCAAACCAGAGGATGCTGACAGGCCGACTACCCCGCGGCCAGGACAAGGGGAAAGAATGACTTGGCAGGCGGGGGGTGCCAAAGGTGCTACATCCGTAGGGAGGGCATTAACCCTCAGGGGCTGCTGGAGACACTTCCAGAAGGGCAGCTCTGTCCTCAGGTCTGGGGGTGGCAGGACGTGAGGGGAGCCCAGCCTGGCCTGGCTGGACTCGAGGAGGCTGCCGTCCGCTTTGTCCCGCTGCCCGCTGTCAAAGCAGGCCCTTTGTTGGCTCAGCCGGCACTTTGCACAGCGCCCACAGGTGGCGTCAGGGCCTGGCCGGCCACCCCTGGCCACAGCCAGACCCCGTGCCGGCTGGCTTCCCCAGGTTCCCGACTGGCTGCCAGCGAGGGTACAGGCACCAGAGGAGGACCGACTGCAGGACCAGCGAGTCCCCTTGTTCAACCTTCTTAGTGAACAATGTCAAGATGGTGATAACAGAGCAGAAAGGTGAGCGGGGGGTGGGGGGGTGGGTACGGGGCCCACACATGTCACATCCCTGTCCTGGCCCCTGAGCCACCCCGTCCCGCCGGGCCTCCTGACCACCTTAGACCGGACTTCTCTCTCTAAAGGCCCCCCTGCAGCAGATCCGACCCACACTCAGGGCAGACAGCACAGGTGCCATCTGGAGGCCCAGGAAGGCGTGTCCCCAGCAGTGGCCTGGGGATACACACGCTTTTCCCAGTCCCAGGACCTGTAACCGACTAGGTTGGGCAGTGTGTCCCAAATCCCAGACTTCCTGGGACCATGAGGATCCCTTGGCCCCTCTTCCACCAAGGCCTTTGGCCTGGGCACCCACGCCCCCTGGTGTGGGACTCCCTCCAGCTCTTGGGCCTCCCCAGAGAGACCCCGTGGACTCCTGGGGAGCCAGCTGAGCCCAGCCCAGTTCTCTTTGTAATCTTTCCAGCCCTTGTCCCTCTCTGAAGCCATCACCTGGACTTACAAGTTTACAGACCTGCAGGAATATGAGCCCCGGGAGGGCAGGGGATTGTACCTGGCCCTGGGTAGAGATGCTCAGTAAATATGAGTGAAAGAAAAGGCCCCGTCCTTGGGGTGGGTTTCCCCCCCCCACCAGGCCTCCAGCTTGTAGCTACGGGTTTGTATGTGGGCCTGTAGTCTCATCTGCCTCCACGATGTCAAGGAGGACAGGGTGCCCAGTGCCCAGCACAGAGTCTGGCCCTGAATAGGGGGCGTAATGTTTACTGACTGAATGAAGGAAACTTCCTTCCCTCCCTCCCACGGGCTCAGGGCAGCCCGGCATTGGCCGTCTAGCCCCAGCGCTCCCACCCCCTCAGACGGGGCTCTCCCATGGGGGCCACTGACTCCTCGTCCTCTGCAGGCCTGACCCTGGGCTCTGTGACCCTTCACTGCCTGTCCCCAACACCACGCGGGTGTTCTCACCCCCACACCAGGGCCGTGCCTGGTGCACAGCTTTGGAGAAACAGTTGTGACCACTGTGCCTAACACCCTGCAGCAGGCCACCCTGCAGAACCAGCTCGGGAACCAGGGCAGAGACCACTAACCAGTCCCAGGCGCCACCACCAGAACAGCGGTGTCGCATGGCAGGCCCTCAATAAATACGGCCAGTGCTCTTGTCCCAGACAGGCCATCCAGGGCTCTGTGTGGGAATTTTTTTCCCCTCTCCCACTGAATTAACTGGTTATTTTCGCCTGCCGGCTGTGTAACCTGGGTTGTACAAATGCTGCCTCATTTCCAAGACAATCAACGTGTGTTTCTTCATTGCCAGACAGGCCAGACGTCTGCGAGAGACTTAGAGGAGGGCAGGGGTGTTGCCTGGCATGGCTGAGTTCCCACCTTCAGGGCTGGAGCTCGGGGAAAGTTTGTTGACTGAATGTGTGGAGTGGCTGCGGGAGGAGGCGGTGGCGGTGATGGTCGTCTCCTCTGGCCTAGGAAATGAGTGGGACCCATAGTCACCCCCAGGCCCATCCAACATTGTCAGGGTTCCTCAAAGAACCCTTGGGACCTCTCCCCTTCAGCTTTTTCTCCAAGCTGCAGAAGCCAAACTGTAGCAAGACCTGCCCCCTCCCTCCTCTGTGGACCTGCTGGTGAAATTGACCCCTTCACAAGGTTGGGGGCTGAGACTGCCCAGCTCACAGTAGGGGTGCCCTTGGAAGTAGGCCGGGATGGCTCTCCCTACCTGGGCCCTGGGGCTGAGGCCTAGCTCTGGTGAAGCTTCTCATCCCAAACGAAGGGTCAGGGCCTTTGAACTTCCCTGTGTACTGGACATTGGTGGGCTTCCCCATTAATCTTCCACCAGCCTATAACCCCTCCAGAAAAAGTTGCCTGCCTGCCTGCCTGCTAACAGAGCTAGAGGCATTATTGTGCCCTGTGCAGGGAGAGAACTCACCCACTTCCTGGGCTGGCTTTTTCCAAATTCAGCAAGACTCTGGCTGGTTCCAGTGTACGGAAAGGAAATAATAACTTTTAGATTCCCTTTGCCCCTGAATACAGAAATAGTCTCTGCTCCTTACTAAAACTCTAGGCATTACGGAGACATGTGAATATTTAAAGAACTACATATGGGGGCGGTGGGGGGAGGGGAAACCTGCAGGTGACCTGGGTTGAGCTTGGGATCTGCCACAGTGTGGAAGCTCCGGGACTGTTTACGCGATGGGCCCCCCAGGCATTTATCGGAGCTGTTGGCGGGCGGGGCGGGGGGGGGGGGGCGTGTCCACGTGACCTCAAGTTTCCCCAGTCAACCTCACTGGGGTAGGGTTGAAGTGCTTCTGGGCAAAGTGGGCTAGGGGCCTCTCGGGGCAGCACACCTGGAGGCGTGGAGTTCCCTGCGCAATCGGGTAATGGGTGATCTGGGGGACAACCCCCTCCCTTCTCTAACTTCCCCTGCCCCGAGCCGCAGGGACCTCATGTTCCTTTGAGGGGACAAGCTTCCCCCAAAGTCTAGGTCAAGGACCCGGCCGGGGGAGGGGATGTAGGGAGGTGGGGAGCGCACTCCCGAGAGTGCGGCTGGAACCCAGTTCTGCTTCCCCCGGACTAGGGTGTGCAGGGCAGGGGTCCCAAAATGACTTCTTTAGGAAGGGGACCCAAAGCCCCTCCGCTGCGCGGGTCCCTAGTCTATGGGGCCTCCACCTTCTGGCCCTTTAAGAGCCCGCCCCCTTCCCCGTCACCCCGCCCCGCGGCCCGGGGAGGGGGTACGGGGGAACCTCGCCGGGGATTGGCGCAGCGCGCGCCCTCTCCCCGGCCCCCGCGCGGTGGGAACCGGCAGCCCCGTCTAGCGCTGACGTCAGACCGTCTGCCTGCCTCCGACCGCGGTCTCGGAGAGAAACCCGATCTCCTTGGACTTGAATGAGGAGGAGGCGGCGGCGGCGAAGGAGGAGGCGCTCGGCTTGGGGAAGCCAGCAGCAGAGGCTCAGCCCCGGCGGCACCGCGCGCCCCGGCTGCCAGCCCATTTCCCGGACGCCACCCGCGGGCACTGCCGACGCCCCAGGGGCTGCGGAGGGGCGGCCGGGGGGCGCCGGGGAGTGCGGCCCCGCTCACTGAGTCCCGCGGCGCCCCGGAAACTTGGCGGCGTCCCCAGCCCGGCGAGCCGGGGCGCGCCTTCCCCGCCGCGCGCCTTCTGCATGCGGGGCCCGAGCACCGGGCGCCGGCCGGAGCCCCCCCCGGCCGCCCCCGTGCCCCCTGCGCCCCGCGCTGCGCCGCCACGCCGTCCATGCACCGCTTGATGGGGGTCAACAGCACTGCCGCCGCCGCCGCCGGGCAGCCCAATGTCTCCTGCACGTGCAACTGCAAACGCTCTTTGTTCCAGAGCATGGAGATCAGTGAGTGACCCCGCGCCCCCCTCCCCGGAGGCCCCATCGGGCTCAGACCTTGAGTCGAGGCGCAGCTGCGGGCGGGGGACCGGGTTGTGCGCGCCCCCTCGGGCCGTGAGCCCTGCGCCCCGGCTGCGCCCGCCGCGCCCCGGATGCGCCCTCCCGGCTCGCGGCAGCTGGCGGCCGGCCCGGCTTTGTCCCGCGGCGCTGCGAGCCTGGAACGGCCCCCGCTGCCCGCGCCCCGCCCTCAGGGTCTCGGACCCGGGGCCAAGGGGTGGAGGGCCGCGGGGCGCAGGGCGAGAGAAGGCTGGGGCGGGCGGCTGCGTGAAGTTTCCATTTTATTTCCCGAAGGGGCAGTCGCGATGGACCAATTAGGCCGGCTCTATATCAACTTTGGCTGGGAGGGGGGTGGCGGGCGTGTGAGACACTGTCTGGCCCGCGAGGTGTCTGGTCTCCTGCTGTGTGTCTGGAGTGTGAGTGGCGCTGTGCGCCTTGGTCTATGTGAGTGGGTCTCCGTGCGTTTGTGGAGTGTGCGTGTCCGTGTCTGTGGGTCTCAGCACGGCTGTGTGTGCGTGTCTGGGTCTGGGTCGCCGTCTGTCCCAGAAGGACGTGCTGGCGAGTCTCCTCGCGTCTGCGGCTCCTCTCTTGTGGGTCTGGGGACCATTTGTGTCCAGGTGTCTGAACCCAGGGCTCAGCGCCGGTGGGTCTGGCCCAACGTGGATCCCGAGTATGCGTGTCATTGTGTGAGTGCCTGTGTCCCCGACGCACCTATAAATATCCTCTGTCTGGACAGCTTGGCTCGGTCTCACTGGGACAGTGGTCACAAATGAGTCCAAGTTTGGGGCTGTCTGTGTTCGGGCTGCCTGGCCCTCACGGGGAGGTGGGCGGAGGGGAGGGAGGGGCTGTGTGAAGCTCAGTCTAACTCCCCCTGCACTTCCCCCCAGCAGCCCACCTAGGTGGAGGTGTGGTGGGATGGGGAATTGACCGGCACCCCCAGGGGTCTGCCTTCTAGCTGACACCCCTCCCCCAGCCTCCCTTTTGAGGACCCCTGGCCTCTCTGAACTTCAGTTTCCCAATCCTGGCCCCCAAGCACCCCAGGCCAGGGGCACACAGCCCTGTCCTGCAAGGCCCGGCCTTCCAGCTGGGACAAGGAGCCAAGAGGCAGCTGCCACCGAGCCAGGGCAGTCACCAGGTGACTCATAAGCCAGTTTCCGCAGGCGGCTGCCACAGTTTTCAGCCCTTGAGCCTGTACAGTGAGGCGCGAGGGGTAAAAATAACCCATGACCGGCCCTGCTGGGCCAGGCTGGCGAACCCGGGTAGTGGGTGCTTCCATTCACCTCGCCCCACTCCCTTCAGTCCAGGAATTATAAGAGTTGCTCCCCCCACCACTTTGCACCCAGTTGCCCTGTGCCAGGGCAGCGAGGTGCCAGGAGAACCTGCCCAGAGCCAGCGCTTGTGGAATTGAGTTGCATTTAAACCAGATTGCCTCCCAAAGGCCCTTTGTGAACTCGGGAGGCTAATGAAATGCACGAGGATATTATTAAAATATGTTTGCACATGTTTGGACAGAGTCTCGCCGCCGCGCTAAATGGATAGCTGCTCAAGGCCCCTCCGTGCCTCGTTCTGAGCCCCTCCTTCTGCAAAGCTGCGGAGGAGACCTCCCGCCCAGGGGGTCCACATTGTGTTGAACTTGTCACCTTCAGGGCCGGGCACTGTCAGACTTTCTGTTCTTGTCCTTCCTTTGGGCTCAGGACTTTTAAAAACATTCGTTCTTATTTCTGTCTCTTCTTTGGCTAATATTTCAGTTGACACTGAGGCGTAGACAAACCCGTTGCCTGCAGGGACCCTTGAGGGTAGCGCCTGGAACCCTGGCCTGCCCAGCTGGCCGCCCAGGGGTGGCCCATTAGTCACCGTGGGGGCCCCCTACTTACTGGAAGAAAGCCCAGGGCAGGAGGAAGCAGCTTTAAAACCCAGGTATAATGTAACAGTTTGTTGCAAGTGCTAATCAGATTTCACTGAAGGGTCTGGTCTGCTTGAGGAAGCCTCGGGGCCTGGTTTTACACAAAAAGATAGGGAGGAAAGAGGGAAAGGAAGAAGAGACAGGAAAGAGACTGAAGAGTGGCCCCTGGGTGTTCACAGGACTGCACAGCTGCAGATGGATTTGGACTCGGGCGGCCAGGCAGTGGCCGGTGGCCGCGCCCCCGGGAGGGGACGCTGCCCTTGTTAGGGCCTTCCTTGTAGCTGCTGCCTGGGCCTCCGTTTCCTCACCTGAAACAGGAGACCCTGAGGCAGAAATGTTACCACCTTTCGAGATGGGGCCTCTGGGCTGGAGGGGTCCTTGCTCCCACAGTGCGGATGTGGTCTTCAGTTGCCCCCATTTCAGACCTGGCAGGGGCCCACACAGGGTTCACGCCATCATTTTACAGAGGAAGCAGGGTGGCGATGGAAAGCTTTGCCCCAGGTCCCTGACCCACACTCGACCTGGTCCCAGGGTTCTTCCTCATGGAGCACACACACTGTGCCTTGAATCTGAACTTGGGTGCCAGAGTAGGTCCGCCTTGAACTTGGGGGGCTTGAGGAAATGAGGGGCATCCCTTTCTTGCCCTGGAGGTGGTGGCGGGTGGGGGGTGGGTAGAGGGGCTCTGGGGGAGACCGACGCCTAGAAAGGCTTGGCTTGGCTTTACCAAAACGCTCCAGGGGCCCCCATCTTTTCTGAGAGCCAAGGGGTGATGTCTGAAGGCAATTCACTGTCCCCAAAACACACCCCGTGGGAAGTTACACCATTCTTTAAAAAGCTGGAGCCTTGCGATTAAAAACAGCCCCCCCCCCATGACAACCCACCCGAGGCAGCAGCCAGCAGGGAGGGGAGTTGGCTCTGGCTCCTTTTGAGGAAATTATTTCCCCTGGCACGCATTTTTTCCTGGCATTCTTGTTGACCTGCTTTTAGTTCAGCCGTGTCTCTTAAAAATGACCCCGTCTTTCTCCGTCTTTCTCCATCAGCTTCTGCTCCTGGGGGACAGGTAGCAGCTAATTGCTCTCTGGACAAGACCGAATTGTCTGCCACACAGCTGCTGGCTCTTCTCTTGTGACAACCTTTCTTGAGGGCCCGGAGAGGCCCCTGCCCCAGACCCAGACCCACCCTGCTCCCCTGCAGGAAGTATCTGCGGTTTGGTTTTTAACACCACCAGGGTCATTCACTGATGCTGTGATTCGTCTTCTCCAGCTGGCTGCAGACAAACAGCCCCGCACAGCTTTCAGGAGCTCGGGATGGCCAGCCTTCTGATGGTTGGCCCGACGGGTGTGACTCAGGGTTCACGCTGGACTCCAGGGTGTCTCCACCTTGTGTCCCTGACCCCTCCCCACCAGACGCTGGCAGGAGTAGCATCTATTCCCCCCACCAAGTTGTGACAACCCAAGCTGTCTGCAGACTTTGACCAACATCCCCTGCAGGGCGCCACCCCCACAGGCTGAGAACCACTGCTGTAATCAGTTACTGGTTTCTGCAGGGCTGTGGGGGGCGGGGTAGGGGGTGGCCGGTAGGGTGTTGGAGGCAGGACTGCAGATCCCCAGCAGAGCCTCAGTTCCCTTCAGAAATCGGCCCCTAGAAAGACTGACTTTGCTGTGCAGCTTGGCACTAGCCACTCCACTGAGCCTCCGGGGAGGGCCTTCTGTGTGTAGGAGGGGAGGGGGCTTCCCCCTGCTGAAGTTTCTGGTTTCCGTCATGGACTTGCATGGATTTGGAGGAGAGACTTGGGCACCCGTGAGAAGTTGGTATTACAGGATTCAGGTTAAACTATGGGTGTCAAGGGCCCCTTGTGCCCCTCTGTGGGCCCCCCTAAGCTGAATTCTCAACCCACAACATTTTAGGACTGGGTCTTCAGTTGGGGTGCAATTAGGGCTTGAGTTTTAACTGAACCTCAGGTCAGGCAGAGGGTCTGGGCGGAGCCAGCTACAGCGGCCGGCGTGGCCCAGGGTCGTGGCCCAGGGTCGGGATGAGCTTAGTGTTTATCAAGACAATGTGTAATTGCTCCTGCATGCACTTGTCGCACACATGCACACCTACACACGCCTACTCCTGTGTGCACACCCACACACATGTGCACATGTGTGTGTATGCACACTCAGCTGCTGCTTCTCTGCCTTTCCCTCCACCTTCTCTTTGGGTGGGGAATGGTTACCACGTCTCCTGGGCATGTTAAAAAACAAAACAAAACAAGAAATGGGGAGAAAGTGCACACGTGTTGTGCCACTGTATACGCTCTTCCTTGGAGAGGAAGCAGGGAGTGGAGTGAGGTGAGAGGCGGCTGTTGGGAGGGTCCCGAGGTGGCTGCTGGGCTTCAGCACAGCGAGGTGCGAGTGCCCCCGAGAGCCTCAGAGCCGCTGTCCAGATGCGCCCAGATGCCTGCCCCCTCCCCGGGGCTGTTAGATGGTATGGTGTGGCCAGTCGTGCCCACCCGAGACAAGGTTCCGGAGGAGGGTCCTGGCGACAGGGCCACCACCAGAGGGTCTGGGCGGCTTTTTGCATCAGGTGTCATCACTCAGAGGCCACATTTGCAGGCAGCCTGGCCTCTGGGATCCTGCCCAGAGGGAAGGAAGTCCTGCACTTGAACTCGGGAGGCCGGGGGTGGCCTTGGGCTCTTGCACGGTGCACGTGCTGAGGGACCGTTTCCTGCTTTTTAGCAGGTGCCTCCGTGCCCGCTCCTCTGTGCGTGCCCGAGGAGCTGCGAGGGGCCCCGAGCCAGGGGCGGGGTGCCAGGGGGCCCACTTTGCCCTGTGGGGAGCTGCAGAGAACGAGGTACACCCTGAGGGGCCACTGCCACTTGGCCCACCATTGCCACGTGGGCCCTGTGGGGCCAGATCTCTCATTCCACGGACCCGGACCACTAGATTTTGGTGTGAACCGGGGTTTTAAGTACTGGCCATTCCTTTTTCTTTTCCTTATGAGCGCCCCACAAAAGCTGCCCGCAGACCCCGTCACCCGTGTGCAGCAGTGGGTTAACAGTGTGGCC